GTGATTTGGAGCTAAGATAAAATATTTGAGCAGGGTGGTGACAGCCCGCGTCTTTAATCCCAGCAGAGACAGGCAGAACTCTGTAAACTAGTTGTTTTCTAAATTCTAGAGTTACAGTGAACAAGGCGGTGGCGCGCACCTTTAATCCCACCGTCCAGGGACAAAACTCAGATACAGCTCCTAATTGGTATGTTGTACACTAGAGAAATCACATATTTACAGATTATTACAAAAACCCTCTACAGGGTTACTAGAAAGGCAGCTTTTTCCAGTGGGGACAGGAACAAAGAGCAGCTTTTGCAACTGCCAGCAAGCTCATCTCTGTGCATGCAACCCTGACCACTAATGGACCAGCTGGTCCCCTGGGGACTCTTCATAAGGCATAAATAAGCTCACCAACATTTTTTTGTTGGCTTCTATTACAAATGCTTTCCATATGTGGAGAATAAATATTCTCTCTTTGAGAAGCAAATCTGGATATTTTGCGAGGCCTGGAGAACCTTATACTCAGTCACTGCCAACCACCCTGTGGTCATAAGGGCGCCCCTTACGATGACGGATTGGATCTGTTCAAAGGCAGAGTCCTTTGCAGACTTAACCATGGAAGGAAATATATTACAGTGGAACTGGTACCTATCTGAGTTCCTTTCTGGCCAGGATGTGGAGCAAAGGGATCTGTGTCTTCCCGCACTGAGGAAATGGCTCAGTTGCCTCTAATCCCCTTCCCTAAGCCACTCACCTCTCCCAGAAAAAGAGGCACCTACTGACCTGCGGGAACCAACAGGTCACCACATTTGGCTAATGCGGGGTTTAATAATGGTTCATCAACCGCCGATGGAACCAAGCTAATGGAAAACGGCAGCCTATAGACTGGGGGTGGAGGGGCCGATACTGATGAAGGAACCACAGAGCCAGCGCAGCACTGTTGGCTATAAGATAAGCAACTAGGAAAGCGAAAGGAAAACCTCTGTCTTCTCCAGTTCGCGGTGTGTGCAATGGCATAGCTATCTGGTCATCAAAACGGAAAAGCACTAAATGGGAGAAAAATGGCAAAGATATCTGGTCATGGAAAGCACAAGTGGAAATGGCAAAACCTAGCAAAGACATCAAATGTTATGTAGCTCTTACAGGCGACCCAGACGAAACATCTGAAAATGATGAAATTGTGGACAAGTCAGCATCATGTTTAAGAATATTAAGCTATTAAAAATTTCCAGGGAACAGATTCAGAATTAAGTCAATAAGAATGATAGATTACACATTCAAAAAACTTGCACGTTTACCCCTAACATTAAAAAAAAAAAAAAAAAAAAAAGAGGAAATAACCAAATTAAACCAGGACAACCCTATGAAAATAACTATTAAAAGGAATCCACAGCCACGTGGTGATTCACACCTTTCACCCCAGCACTTGGATTACACCAATTTAAACTTAAAAGCTGCTTGCAAAGCTGAGCATGGTGGCCCACGCCTTTAGTTCCAGCACTCTGGAAGGCAGACACAGAGGATCTCTGTGAGTTTGAGGCCAGCCTGGTCTACAAAGTGAGTCCAGGACAGCCAGGGCTACACAGAGAAGCCCTGTCTCAAAAAAGCAAAACAAACAAGCAAGCAAACAGACTGCAAAAATTCCAAGTGAATGTCTTCTGTGATCTAAAACTAAATACACTTAAACCTTAAATTTATATATAATGAGAAAGGGGAATATGGGTGCATTTATCCACATATACTAAGGAATATTTAGTTTCAAATCCTCAAAATATTTTTTAAAAAATATCAATTGAAAGATAATACTTTTTCTGTTGCCAAAAAACATTTTGCCCAAGGAAAGATACAACCCAACAAAGGCCCCAGAGTTAGGGTTGGGGCATGGTTTTGCTTTTATCTTTCCAAGAGAATGAAAGCATCCAACTAAGGAATCTGGAGACCACTGGACAAATGAAATATGCAAGGAAAAAGACATGATCAAGAGAAAATGTCCCAAGAAAAAGTAAATTAGCAGTGTTTTCCACATCTCCAGTTTGCCTCTGCTGCCCTCTACAGGCAGAAGTGACAAGTTGTCTCTGTGTGATCCAAATTCAATTACAAAATTAGAGCTGGCTTTGGTGTTAGAGCAGGGCTCTCTCCTTCTCTAAACCCATGCATACTTGTTAAAGAAAAACCCAAAATCTCTGTCTCATTTCAGAAGAGCAACCTGGCATGGGACAGAGGAAAACAAAAAATAAATATTCTATTGCTACTAACCTTATACTCTTTTGGTTTTTATTTGACTCTTTAATTTTTTTTTTTTTTTTTGTCTTTTTGAGACAGAGTTTCTCTGTGGCATTAGCTGTCCTGGACTCACTTTGTAGAGCAGGCTGGCCTCGAACAGAGCTCCGCCTGCCTCTGCCTCCCAGAGTGCTGGGATTACAGGCTTGTACCACTGCACCTGGTTCTTTAAAACTTTTCTGAAGGTATAAATATTACCTCTCATGCATGGGCACTCACACGCTCACATGCATCCATTCACATCCAAAAAATGTGCATCCCCAAGCACACCACACACATAGATAAAAACGAGGAAAAGTCAGCGTTGACTGGGTAGGCAGTCGCGGAATGGACATGTCTGTTTTTGTGTTATGGGTGTTTGGTCTGCACACCAGGTCATCAGATACCATAGGCTATGGTTATAGATGTTTGTGAGCTACCCTGTGGGTGCTGGGAATTGAACTCGGGTCCTCTGGAAGAGCAGCCAGCTCTCCTAACCACGGAGCCATCTCTCCAGCCCCCAGCGGACATGTGCTTTAGCAGTGGGATGCCTAGGAAAATCACCATGAGATGCCAGTTCACACCCATGAGGATGGCTGAAATAAATACATTGGAGAGCAGCAAGTGTTGGCGAGAATATGGTAGGCACAGTGTATTGCCGGTGGGAGCGTGAAATGCGCAGCCACCGTGGAAAGAGAGGTGGGGTCTCCTGAGGGAGTCAAGCACAGGAGTACGAGACGACTGAGCAGTTCCCCTCCTGGATGCTACTCAGCAGATCTCCACAAAGGCCCTCACACGGGGGCTTGGAAACACGCTCATAGCAGCACTGCTCACCAGCAGCGAAAGGTGAGAACACTCTGACTGTCTACCAGCGGACCATCAAGTGACTGTGGCAGGTGGCTGCAGGAGCAAACTGTAATGTACCCACACCATCACTGAGCCTGAAGAGGAGATGAAGGGCTAGGGAGAGGCCCCATGGGGACAGGCTCGTGCAGTCCAAGCCTGGTAGCCTGAGTCACATTCCCCAGAGGTGAGGCCAAAAGCAAACCAAAGAGAAGCAAACCAGGCCTGGTAGCTGATCTGGAATCCCGGCTATCCCACAGCAAGGCAGGACGAGGAGAGAAGAGACTTCCAGAGGCTCATGGGCCTAGAATCTGCCCTCAGGAAGCTTGCAGGCCAGCTAGCCTGGAATGCCCAGCACAGAAACAACACGGAGCAAGAGGACCAGCTCCCAAAAGTTGTTCTTTGGACCATGTATGCGTCATGGTTTGTGCATGCACACTCGTACGCAAACGAGAAAGCGCAGGAAATGTTGACGTGTGTAGTGATATGTAAAGTATAACCTTTACGCCCGGCTTTAAGTGAAATGTACAGTAAAGCCTTTGCGTCTGGTTTTGAGTGAGATGTTTCGGCAAAGCTTTGGCTGTGTTTGGGTCAATCGGTAGAGGCTGAGAAATTATTCTGAGATTGTTTGAACCTTGAAGAAACGTCGTCTTTCTGGAGAATCTACACTAGGTGCTACGTGGGAGCTTGCAGCCACACAGACCTGGGTCCTGCGACACTCCTGGCACACCTGGAGTTCTTACTGTTGGTTATGGCGAGCCATGGTCAAAGGGGCAGAGGTTTGTGTGGGTTGTCTGACCTCATGGGCAGCAAGAGTCCCCTCTGCCCAGTGTGAACCTCGGGGATGAGAGCGGTCCTAGGTCGCTGTCACCCGGGGGTTTAGTCCAGGCCTCTCCTTCAGAGCTGGAACTACCGGCTTGTCACAGGGATGTGGGAGCTTTTGCTTCAGGAGACAAGAACCAGCTCAGATGGACACCTCGGTTACCAGGCGAGGTCAGGACGGGCCTGGGAGACCTTGCAGTGCAGTCCTTCCAGGAGGAGGGGCCACCCTTTCTCCTGAGGGTCATCAGTGACGCTTCTGTCCCCTGCTGGCTCCTCAGCAGTTTACCTAAGATTGGCACTTCGGGGTAGCTTGGTGCTTCTTTTATGATGAAACTGTTTTACTTCCTGCATTGGCACAGGGAACTTTTTGGGTTGGCAGATTTTGTTATTCATTTTGACGCCAACGTCTTTATGAAGAACTTGGCCAAGAACGCTGTCACACTATTTAAGCAAGAAACCATTTTTGAAAACTGTCATTGTCGCCTGACCACAAATATCGTCTTTCAGAGGTCACATTACAAAGAGCTGTTTTCTTCTTTCTGTGTGTTCTTTCTGGTTTTGTTTTTAGGGTTTCTGTGCATTAGACGTGTGACCTAGAAACCCACCATTTGTGTTTTCTCTTCCTTCTTTGGAAAGCGTTGCTGGTTATTTCTTGTGCCTAGTATTTCAAGGAAGTTTGGTTAATTGAGAAAGACACACAATTTCCTTTCCTCCTGATAGAACCCTCCTTCTATTTTAAGAGTCCCAGGCCTGGGGAAGATTTGGGACTTAAGCCTGGAGCAAGAAAGAAGTGGGGACAAACAAGAAGGTAAGCGCAGGATTGGGGCCTCCAAGCTCTGGAAGGAGGGTATTTTCTTGCGCGAAGCTCCCTGGCGGCGCGAAGACTTCTGGGACATAGAGTTTCTGCGCACCTCCTGGCGAGAAAGGAGAGCCTTGGCACTCGGGCTTCCGGAAAGATGCTGAGCATGCGCGTCTCGGCCTGCGCGTGTGCTCGTGCATGCGCGCCGCCCCTGCGCCGCCCTTGACTTCCTGCGGGTCCGGGGTTGAGGCTATCTTCCCTCCCCGAGCTTTCGCTTCGCTAAGCTGGAGTCGCCGAGCCTGCGGGGCCGAGGCCGGAGCTTCGGGGTCGGCAGCGGACAGGGGCGGCGGGACCGCCCGCTCGGTGAGGCCCGGGGGCGCGGATCGGGGCCGCGGGAGGGAGGATGGGCCTGGCACCCGGGCTCCCCGCTGTCCCCAGCTTGCGGGGCTCGGGAGGGGCGCGGGGGCCGGGCCGACAGCGGGACAGCTGCACCGCTTGGGGCTGCGTGGACCGTGTGAGGACCAAGTGTGCGGGCACTGCAGGGGTTCGCAGCTCCGGACTCCCACCGTGTCACTCGGCGCCCGGCAGCACCGGTACTCTGCTTGTTATCCCTAGTCTAGCCTTGTAGCATCATAACGGTCCAGTGCAGCAGGTCTGCTTTTGCCTCCGCGCGTGGAGGAAGGCTGAGTCTGCGGTGGCGGGAGACTTGATCGAGGTTGTGCAGGGGTTTGTTGATACGAAGGCCATTGTTCTCCAGTTCCTCCCTTTACTTACTCCTTTTTCAGCAGTGACAAGTTTAGTTGGATACAAACCGACATCTTTTTCTTTCTTTCCTTCTTTTTTCTTTCTTTCTTTCCCTTCCTTCCTTCCTTCCTTCCTTTTCTTTCTCTCTTTCTTTCTCCTCTTCTTCATCTTCCTCCTTCTTCCTTACTCCGCCTCCTCCTCTTCCTTTTGGTTTGGTTTGGCTTTTGGTTTTTTCAAGACAGGGTTTCTCAGTGTGTCCTTGGCTGATCCTTGGTAGATCAGACTGGCCTTGAACTCACATTTCCGCCTGCCTCTGCCTCCCAGGGTGCTGGGATTACAGGTGTGTACCACTGCGCCTGGCTCCCATTTTTTCTTTTTTTATGTTTTTATTTTAGAGACGGACTCGCTGTGTTGCCCATGTTTTTCCGGCACTCTGTGATCCTCCTGTCTCAGCCTCCAGAGAGTTGGGGCTACCAGTATGTCTCCTCACGGAACATGCACCCAAATATGTAGAGCTCAGGTTCTCCATTCATGTGACATGTTTTCAACAGTTTCAATAGGAAATTAGAAAATAAGTAACCTTTTTGCACCTTTGCCTGTTGATAAAAAGAAAGTGTTGTGTTCATCATGGAAGTGTAGCCCATCCAGCTGCCAGCTGTTGGACTTGGGTGTGTGATTCCTTGCCGTCTTCCGTGTCACCTCTTGGAAGTGTTTGTAGGCTGTGATTTGATTTATCGGTTGCCTGTGTAGACCGGCTAATCCCCGATTTCAGTGACCTTTCCCTCCCATAGGTCCACTATCAGCGGTGTGTACACTTTCCAAGAGCAGCAGAAAATGAGCATGGCAAAGGTGAGTTTTACCTGGTTTGTACTTTCTTTTTTCCTCACTCCTTTGTAATGTGTTTGGGGGACTTACGAGGTCCGTTCTTTAAAATGGTATGGAGGAAGAAGTAAAGGAGATTGTAATGTAAAATGCAGCCTTCGTGGCAGATTGTCATGGGCTGTTGTGTTGGGCAGTCTGATAATTTTAGGCTAATGGAGTTACTTGGCAGTGTTAGAAAAGAAGAAGAATATCCATTCTGTCACCTGCAGCTACTAGTGGGAGATGCCATTTTTGTTGCTTCTGGGTATTAAATATTTCCCAGGACTTGGACATTTCCTTTAGTGAAGTTGGGGTGATTGTGGACAGCGTTCCTAATAACAACATTTGAGCCCTGTGTTCTTGTTAGGTCTATACGCAGACCCTCAGCTGCCCAAGAACTTGTTGTGTAACATTTTTTCAGGAACCAGAGGTCATAAGCCAATGTGATATATTTTCATCTTTACTTTTTAAATCTCAAGAGTAAATTCCAGACTATGTGTTGGCTTTTTCTTTGTTCGTCTGTTCTCAAAACAGGGTTTCTCTGTGTAGACTTGGCTGTCCTGGACTTGCATTGTAGCCCAGGCTAACCTTGAACTCACAGCGATCCACCTGTCTATACCTCCCTGAGTGCTGGGATTAAAGGTGTGTGCCATTATGCCTAGCTTGGTACCATTTTTTAAAGCAATTTTTCAAAACTTTATTTAGTGTGTGCCCACGTGTGCATGTGTGGGGCGCAGCATGTACCAGGTTCACATGAAGGTCAGAGAACAGCTGTGGGAGTGAGTTCTCTCCCTCCATATGGACTCAGGGGTGGATCCAGGTTGTCAGGCTGTGTGGCAAGTGCTTTTACCCACCAAGCCATTTCCCTAGTGCTACCATGCCGACATCACTCAAGAGAGAGCCAGAACAGGTTCTGAAATAATAGTCAGTGTGCACTGTTACAGCACTGGGAAAAAGAGCCGCTTCACGGTGACGAGTGGCTGCTTAATCTAGGGGACAGTGCAAGGGCATGGGGGGCAGATCCAATTGGAAGAGTCTTGTCCACAGAACCTTACCCACCTAATTATGAAGTCACACATAAAATCATACAGTCTCATCCAAAGAATCATAATCTCATCCATAGAATTAGTCTTGTACATAGAATCGTAGTCTCATACATAGAATCACACTCTTATACGTAGAATCACAGAGTCTCATCCACAGCATCATAGTCTCCGTACATAGAACCACAGTTTTGTACATAGAACCACAGTTTTGTACATAGAATCACAGTCTCATACATAGATCATAGAGTCTCATACATAGAATTGTAGTCTCGTACATAGAATCACAGCGTCTCATACATAGAATCATAGTCTTGTACATAGAATCATAGAGTCTCGTACATAGAATCATAGTCTCATACATAGGGTCCTAACATGGCATCTATGGGCAGTATGCACGCGTATGGTACACAGACACACATGCAGGCAAAACACTCAAACATAAGATGGAAATTAAGCTTTCTTTCATGTATAATTTAGTTGTTGACTCGGGTTTTCCTGATGCTTGTCTTTATAGTGCTCCCTTAGCGGATGATTCTTAATGCTGTGTTTACATTTGTGGGAGGAGTTTTCTTCTTTGGGTACTAGAGATGGCATCTGGACTGTCCCCTCGAGGCAAAGAAAGAGACGCTGTTACTGTAATGCAGCTGCACTCCAGGGCCGCCTGTCTGACTCACCGCCTTTACAGAGGTGATGGCTGCAGAGTCTGGAGGTATAGGGAGGCTACCTAACGGCTTAGCTGCCTTTCCTGCTGCTGTAACACGGCCTAGAGAGGTGGCTTAGCGGTTAATATCTGCTGCTCTTCCAGAGGCTCCAGGTTGATGCCAGCACCCACATGGTGACTGACAACCATCTGTAGCTCCAGCTCCAGGCAATCCGACACCGTCTTCTGGCCATAGGCAGTATGCATATAATACATACATGCATGCATACAGACAGACCGACAGGGAAAACATTCATAAAATAATGACGTCTTTAAAAAACTACTCTAATGGCAAGTGTGCTGGTACATACTTTTAATTCCACCACTCAGGAGATAGAGGAAGACAGATCTCTTGTGAGTTCAAGGCCAGCCTGGTCTACAAAATGAGTTCCAAGACAGCTAAGGCTGTTACACAGAGAAACTCTGTCTTCAAAAACCAAGCCAAAACAAAACAAAAAACCTCTGATGAAAGCAGTTTAAGAGAGATAGGCTTGGGCTGGAGAGATGGCTCAGAGGTTAAGAGCACTGGTTGCTCTTCTAGAGGTCCTGAGTTCAATTCCCAGCAACCACAAGATGGGTTACAACCATCTATAATGAGGTCTGGTGCCTTCTTCTGGCATGCAGGTGTACATGCAGGCAGAACATTATACATAGTAAATCTGAGAGAGAGAGCGAGCGGGTTTATTTTGGCTCGAAGTTCCAGGTTGCAGTCCATCCCAGCAGGAAGTCAGCAGCAGACACTTGGAGCAGCTGCTCACACTGCATCCCCAGTCAAAAAGCAGGAAGCAGTGAAAGCTTGTGCTCGCCTCATCTTTTCTCTGTGTAGCCCAAAATAAGCCAAGGGAATGAAGCCTCACACGGTGGGCAGGCCAGCTGACCTCCCCTAGAAGGCCTAGCTATCGCCCTGTCTCTCCAGTGACTGGAGTCTCAGCAAGCTCATCACTGAGATTAGCCCGCATACCTGATGAGAGGTGATGCGTTCACCAAGGAGGCTAATCTGCTCAAATTAGGGAAGGAAAAAGCCTGTCCACTGTGGGGAGAGTTGAGTGTGTGCCCTGGTGTCTGACAGCCCTGGATTGGATCCGTATGCCTGTTCATCCCACACAGACCATTGTTTATCTCGCACTGAATGTTCTCTTGGAACGGTGCATGTGTGATCATATCACACATCAGGCCAGGGAGTCCTGTGTGTCACTTCTCAGTCAGCCAGTCGCCCCTTGGAAGCCAGGAGCCCCATGACGGGACCCTGAATGGGCCCTGCTGGGGAGGCTGCCATTTGCTCTGCCTGTGCACCAGCGGCCCTGTGTAAAGTGGCCCATAGCTGTGGGCTGTCTTGTCCAGAGCTCTTCTCTGTACCTAGAAGGCATCACTGAGACCTCCTACGATGGGACCTGCTTCCGGTGTTCTTAGAAGAATGGAATGTGTTTTCTGTTTCTTTTTTTTTTTATATGTGTTTATTATTGCTGTGTTAATGTGTGTGCCTGTGTGAGTGTGTGCCCATGTGCATGCAGGAGCTCACCGAGGCCAGAAGGTGTCAAGTCTCTGGGACTGGAATTACCAGACCAGTCAGTTGTGGTGCTGCCAAACATGGGTGCTGGGAACTGAACTCGGGTCCTCTGCAGGGGCCTCTCTGAGCCATCATGCTGGCCTCTGGGCTTTGGTTTTTGATGGTGGAGATTACCATGTGTGGTTGGTTTGCTGCTAATTTAAAGCTGGCGCCACTGCCAAAGCTGCCCTCAGGAGAGCACCTCCTTCATGCCTTTGCACCTACTTTCCTGCCCAACCTTTACGAACTGGCACTGTTCCAGTCTGCCTTTCCTTAACCCCGCTTTTCCTCAGATATCTTATTCTAGTACCAACCCTGGGCGTTGAGTTCTTCTTCTGTTGTTTTTTGTTTGTTTGTTCGTTTTTAATCTTACATATTACCACAAGAAAGGAATGTTTGCAGTGAAACTTGAAATAAACGCAACAGGTACAGTTGGCCTTGCAAATGAAACATGCAGAATTCAGAGCCGAAAGCCAGGGCTGGCAAGAGGACTCAGTGAGCAAAGCTCATGCCGCCAAACCTGACAAGCCGTGTTTGAGCCCCGACCCCACATGGCGGAAGGAGAGACCCGCCTGCTAGTTCTTCTCTGACCCGCACACAGTTGCTGCCACACACGTGCGGAAATCAAGCTAAAAATGGGCAAACCCAGCAGGGGAATGAGAGAAAAGGGGCAGGGCGGGGGCTGTGAGTATCCATCCCGCCATGAAAGGACTCAGAAGGACCGCCAGCAGAGGAGACTGAAGACGGTGACAGTCTGACGGATGGGTGCATTTGTTACATATGTGAATGTCTCCTCCTCGGGCTCTAGAGAGCAGAAATGGTGTTTTGCATATCTTACAGCATAACCCAGAATCCAACTGAAAAATGGGGACTCAGCTGTTGCAGAGGTCTCAGTTTCATTTCATGTAGTGTGACAATATACCCTAAGAGAGGCAGCCCACGGAGAGGGTTTATTTGGCTCGCAATTCCAGGTTCTGGTCCATAATTCTGAGGACGTCAGCAGCGGAAATGTTAAGAGGCCATATTGCATCCCAGTAGAGAGCAAAGAACACTAAATTCATGCATGCATGCTAGCACTCAGCTTGCTTTCTCCACTCTTAGATCATGCAGGATCTGTGTCCAAAGAACAATGCCAGCCACAATGGGCCGGCCTTCCCACTTCAGTTACCATGGTAAAGACTCCCCGACAGGCCAGCCTAGTAGGCCAAGCTCTTATTGCAACCCCTTTTCCCAGGTGTGTCTAGATTGTGTCAGGTTGATGGTTAGCTGTCACATCAGAGTCCTGGCTGTGCTTTTGTAGCACGTTTACAGTGTGGTTTGTTTCCTTCCAGGCTCTGTCACAGAAGTAAGGTGTGCATTGTTCGTATACCTTACTTTACTTGTGTCCCCACCTGGGGGGTGGGGAAAGCTTGCTCACCTGGGCCTTGTGTGCATCTCCTAACTGTGACCTATCATTGCAGGGTCCCCTGTCATTCCAGGATGTGGCTGTGGACTTCACACAGGAGGAGTGGCAGCAGCTGGCTTCTGAGGAGAAGACGACGTACAGGGATGTGATGCTGGAGAACTACAGCAACCTCGTCTCCGTGGGTGAGGACCGCTTGCTTCCTGAGTACTGTAAATGTGATGATCTGTCTTTGAGTTGAAGGAACGAGTGCTGAGACTTGTGTCCTTGGGCAGATAGCACTGGGTATTTCTCTACTGCTCCGTGAGAGGTTCTGCTTTGCCCACCTGTGGCGCCTCCAGCGTGTCAGGTGTCCTAGCCGCATCCCCATACACAGAAGGCTTTTAATCGGCAAACGGGGGACGTTGTGTAACTTGAGGCGCAGCTTCCTTTCCCATGGTGGTTGTGCAGTCAGTTAGTCCAGACCCTCCTCCTCTTCCTGTTAACAGGGTATGACGTCACCAAGCCAAACGTGATTGTTAAGTTGGAGCAGGGAGAAGAGCCGTGGACGGCGGAGGGCGACCGCCATACTCAGAGTCATTGGGGTGAGTGAACAGGGTGTGGTCCTTTTTAAATTCATTGATTTTGTAGGGAAGCTTTTGAAACCTGACAATTTAGAGCAAATGAAATCCAGACATACAGGGATTTCTTTGTATTCAGAATTAAGAAAAAAGATGGTGGAGGGCAGAGCTGGTGGGAGGAAATCTAAGTTGTGACGTTGAAAGGACACTGAAGGCCGAACGGCCAGTGAGCAGCCGCTGGGTGTACGAAGTGTTTGGATGTTGGCTGTGGGACTCGCTTCAAATGGGAGGAACATGGGGACCTCTCAGGATGTTCTGACCGTGTGCCACGGAGAAAGGCAAAGATGTCACTGGGTGTGGTGGCTCAGGTCTGCAGTCCCAAAACCCCAGGGAGTTGAGAATCGCTGAAAGTTGAAGGCCAGCCTGGTCTAAATAAAAAGACATAATTTTAAATAAAAACGAAAGCACAGGTTTCAGAAGTGCCGAGGTGTCGTCCTGTGTGACGGGGTGTGGCCATTGTAAAAGCAGAGGTGTCCTCGTGTGGTGACGCACTACCATGCAATAGAAGGGGGGTGTTTCTCCCAAACCTAGACTGTAGTGAAACATTTCTTTTTTCATATTTCCCCGCTTCCCTTTGCTGTGAGTCCCCACTTCTAGCTAGGTCTAGCGCCCTCAGTAACTTCAGTACTGATGCTTTCTGCTCATCATTTCTTAGGTCATTTTCATTTTTCTGTCAAAGTTGTGAATATAGTATTCATAAAGTCACTAAGGTGCTTGCTTCGGTGTAAATTTACTCTCTCCTCACTTAGAGTGCCCACACACTACATATTTAAATCAAAGGAAGAAGAGACCTGTGCATCCATAATAACTTTTGCTCACAGACTGTCCCTAAATAGGACACTCAGGCACCACCCTGCTCCTGTGGCTTGTGTATTCATGTGTCATTTGTCCACTCTTCCTCCGCTCTAGAAACCAGTAAAGCAGTTAACCTCATAGCAGGAATCCAACAAAGTGAAGAGAAACATCTGAAGCAAGTTGATGATCTCAACAGCCAACAAGCTGAGAAGGGGGGTGCGTGTGATAGCACCCGCAGCCTGAAGCCGCACCTCAGCTCCGCAAGCGCTCACGGTTGTGTCTCCTGTGGGAAGCCTCTGGAATGCACTACAGAACTGATTAGTAGTGATGGGAGCTACGCAGCACGAAAGCCCAGCAAGTGCGCCGAGTGTGGGGAAACACGCAGAGGGAAGCCCGACCACTTTAATCAAGGTGGAGACACCTCTTCCCAGCAGGATGAGGGTCTTCTGCAGACGGTGGCCATTTTGGAGAAACCCTTTGATTACGAGTGCATGGAGGCCCTGGGCAGGGAGCGCATCTTCGTGGCTCAGGAGGGCGCTTGTCTGGCAGAGAAGCCCTATGAGTGGGATGGCGCTGGACCGGACTTCATCCCGATGTCCGATTTCAGTGCCTATCAGAGTTCACAACTGGAAATGAAGCCCTTCGAGTGTGCGCAGTGCGGGAAGTCCTTCTGCAAGAAGTCCAAGTTCATCATTCATCAGCGAGCGCACACGGGCGAGAAGCCTTACGCTTGCAGCGTGTGCGGCAAGGCCTTCAGCCAAAAGGGGACCCTCACCGTCCACCGGAGGTCGCACCTGGAGGAGAAGCCCTACAAGTGCAGCGAGTGCGGGAAGACCTTCTGCCAGAAGCTGCACCTCACGCAGCACCTGAGGACGCACTCGGGCGAGAAGCCCTACGCGTGCGCCGAGTGCGGCAAGACCTTCTGCCAGAAGACGCACCTCACCCTCCACCAGAGGAACCACTCGGGGGAGCGGCCCTACCCGTGCGGCCAGTGCGGCAAGTCCTTCTCCCGCAGGTCCGCCCTCAGCGACCACCAGAGGACGCACACGGGCGAGAAGCTCTTCCGGTGCGGCGAGTGCGGCAAGGCCTACTACCGGAAGTCCACACTCATCACCCACCAGAGGACGCACACGGGCGAGAAGCCCTACGAGTGCAGCGAGTGCGGCAAGGCCTTCTCGCGGGTGTCCTACCTCAGCGTGCACTACCGGAGCCACCTGGAGGAGAAGCCCTACGAGTGCGCCGACTGCGGGAAGGCCTTCAGCCTCAGCTCGGCCTTCGTCCGGCACCGGCGGGCGCACGCCGAGGGGGAGGCGCGCGCCCCCGAGTGCGCGGGCTGCGGCGGCGGCGGGAAGCCCCTCCTCCAGGGCGCGGCCCCGGGCGCGCACCCCGCCGGGCCCGACGGGGCGAACATCTACGACTGCAACATCTGCGGGAGGGCCTTCTCCGACCTGGCCGGCTACACCGTGCACTACCGGGGCCACTCGGACGAGAAGCCCTTCGGCTGCAGCGAGTGTGGGAAGACCTTCTCGCACAATTCGTCCCTCTTCAGGCACCAGCGGGTGCACACCGGGGAGAAGCCCTACGAGTGTCGCGAGTGCGGCAAGTTCTTCTCGCAGAAGTCGTACCTCACCATCCACCACCGCATCCACTCGGGCGAGAAGCCCTACGCGTGCAGCAAGTGCGGGAAGGTCTTCTCGCGGATGTCCAACCTCACCGTGCACTACCGGAGCCATTCGGGGGAGAAGCCCTACGAGTGTAACGAGTGCGGGAAGGTCTTCTCCCAGAAGTCCTACCTCACCGTGCACCACCGGACTCATTCAGGGGAGAAACCTTACGAATGTAGCGAATGCGGGAAAAAATTCCACCACAGATCGGCCTTCAACAGCCATCAGAGAATCCACAGAAGAGAGACTATGAATGCACTCACCGTGGAGAACCTCTGACATCTCAAAAACAAGCAAACATTTGGCTATAGTGACTATTGGAAGTCTCATAGGCAGTCAAGGACGGACCTTTCCCCCAGTCTTTATGTCTGTGGTGCTGGGAATTGAATCCAGGGCCTTTTGCATGCCGTAGAACTTCTCCCCTGAGCTGCCCCCCTGGGGTTCACAAGTTGAGCGTTTGTGCTCTTGAGTGAGAAGTCCTAACACAAAAACCATTTTGACTTGAATTTTCAGAGAAGAACCTGCAAAAATTCAGCAAGACACAAACGGTGACTATATCATTTATGGGACACTAGGTAATTTTTACAGGAGTGATACTTTTAAAGTATTTAATATTTATTTTTGATTTAAATTGTATTTACATATCAGGGAGACTTGCTAAGAAATGTCGCTGAGGTGAATGTGTAACATATCTTGGAAACTTATGCTAAAAGCCATATTTCTGATGTTAAAACAGGTGTCTATAGAAAAGATGCAAGAAGCTATCAGTTCCGAATAAACTTATAAAATGAAATTATAAGGCCAGGAGTTGATCATAGGATGACCAAATACGTGGCATCTCTGATGTTCTAGAAATGTAATTTAATAGTAATTCTATGCAGCTTTTTTTTGCAATCATGGCTTTGAATAGTTTGTGAAAACATGGTATTGAGTATTAGAATGACAAAGTGTTGCAAGGGGATGGATATATTGGTGAAATGTTATAAATAGGAAAGTACATAATTTTCTATTCAGAATTTACAAGTGGATTTTTTTTTGTTTTGTTTTGTTTTTGTTTTTTTTTTTGTTTTTTTTTTTTTTTAATGCTTACCAGTAGAGTGGTTTTTGTACAAAAAAAAAAAAAAAATTCAACTGGAATTTTTAAAGTACAATTTTTAAAAAATACTATTTTGGTAAACTGTGCTGTCTTAGTCAGTGTTCTGTTGCTGTGAAGAGACACTGTGACCAAGGCAATTCTTACAAGGGTGAACATTTAATTGGGGCTACTTACAGTTTAGTCCGTTATTGTCATGGTCGCAAGCATGGCGGCACGCAGGCGGACATGGTGCTGGAGCGGGACTGAGAGTTCTGCATCTGGATCCACAGGCAGAGAGAGAAAGATACTGGGCCTGGCCTGGGCACTTGAAACCCCAAAACCTACCCCCAGTAATACACTCCAGCAAGGCCACACCTACTTCCACTCCCTAGTGACCAAGATTCAACCATGAACTATGGGAGCCATTCCTTTGAAACCACCACATATGCAAATATAATTTAGGGTTGCTTATATCCATTTCACCAGAAGAGTGTAATGCAGCATAAATATGGCGTCACTTTTGTTCATTGCCGCCCGGTTCCAGGGCTTTAAACCAAAGTATGCTTCTAGCAGACATCTTCTGCTTGATGCTTTTTGGCATAATCCCTTGCCACGAGTTTGGCCGCCTACCATTCTCCACGTGAGAATCCTGAGCAAGCAGTTTAAATCAATGATCATGATTGACTTCTGCTTGCCAGCCAGTGGCCTCTCATTGCCCACAGTAGATCTGTCCCGAGACCGCCCGTTAATACTTGAAGCAAGATAGTCCCAAACCCTAAGTTCTGTGGTTGTGCAGCACTTTAATGTGGTCGCTCAGAGAGCCGCTGAGTGACCGGCAAGAAATGACCACAGTGGAGGATCACTGGACAAAAGGATGACTGACAGCCCGGTGAGATTTCTTCAACACTCCACAGAATGAAGTCAGTTTAAACCTTGGGAACTGCCTGCTGAGGATAGAGACAAGAGGATACGGAGTTGGTCAAGCACGCATGAGGCCCTGTGTTTGGTCTCCGGTGCTCCCCTCCCCAAAACATAATTCGCTTCCACTTAGTGTCTTTGCACTGTGGTGGACAGCCCACGCCACAGATAGACTGCAGAAAGTCAGGCTTGAGGTTGGGAGGAGGCGTTCCCGGAACTTCATTACAGAGGTTGCTTGTTCTGTAAATGGTGATCATATCCACCCTACTCCAGGAATACAGAGATAGCTGAGTATTCCGAAAGCTAACAGTCTCATGAAGAAAACACGTGTGAAAAAATATTTATCATCTTAGTGCAGTGTGGAGAAGAACCTCCTTAATAAGACAAAGGGAGACCAGCAGCTACAAGCGCCATTCAGAGCAGTGCGATATTGCCAGTTTCATCCCAAATGAAATCTGCTCTAGTGCCAGTAATCTTACACAGCATTATACAGAAAGACCTGGAGAACAAGTGAGGGGGAAAAACAACAAGAAAGGCAGAGATCTGTAAAGGAGTAGGGCTTTCATCTGGCACGACCCTCACATAGCACATTCCAGGACATGTTTAGATGTTGGAGTTACAAATTCGGGTTATAAACAATGAAGGAATTGAACAAGGTCCTTGCATACAAGGTCATTTTGTAACACTAGAGTTTAAAAAAAAAAAGCATAAATTATTTTGAGAGCAATGCCTGTTCACAAAAATTCCCAAGTACATAAGGAAAGATGCATTTTCAAGAATTTTACCTAGAAAAAAAATATGAGCACACAGTAGGGTGTCTTGTGGCTTTCAGGAGACACTTGGGGAGATGGCAGTTTCTCCTGTTAGCCCACATGTAGTGGCACCTCAAAGTCTAGCTTTTCATGGAAATGAACAAACTGAATCTACATCTGCGCAAGCAGTTAACAGTTTAATAGTTACCAATGCTAGTTCGTAGAGTAAAACTGTGGCTGCCGGAGAGACAGCGCCACAGTTCCAAGTGTGTGCTGCTCCTGCAGAGGACCTGAGCTTGGTTCCCAGCATCCACACGGTGACCCGGCCCACAGGTCAGTCAAACGAGACCCTAAGAGGGGGTGAGAATGGGGTGGGACAAGAGATGTGAGAAATGAAGACCAAGACAGTTTCTCTGATCAAGGTCTCAGCTTATTATTTTTTCTACATCCTTTATATAGGCAGGACGAAAGGAATGTAATTGCCTTTGGCAGGGTTACTAAGTGACTAGGAATCACAGGATGACCCACCAGAGGAGTCACAAGATGTGCTAATGATGGTTGTTTGGAAAGTTCCTCAGAGGTGTTACTTGGGAAGCACAGAGGGGGGAGGAGGATTTAAGGTGTTTAAGGAAGATGACCTTATTGCAAGCCCCAGGTCAGCCAGGAATGCACTGTTGTATCCAAGCAGTAGGCCATTAAGCCAGGTCAGGGCAGATGCCAAGAATTCTGGGGGCAGCAAGGTGCCAGAAGGCCCCCCACACGGGGTGGCTCACAGCCACCTGTAACTTCAGGTCTGTGGGCACCTGCAGTCATGGACACACACACACCACGATTTAAAAATCTGAAGAGGCAGAAGGAGGCGTTGACCTCGGCTTGGGTGACAAGAGCGCATATGCACTGAGCCCCTGCATCAAGACAGAATAAAACAATTTCTGCTCAGCAATGCTGAGCCACTATAAAACCATGGATATTATAGCATAAGAGCAAACTGACCGTGAGAACAGGGTATTACACGGATCCTGGAGATGTGTGTCACCTGCCTTACTGTGGAGGCAAAGATGTTCACTTCCGTTTCAAGTTCTGTCAGTTGTGTATAATTTAACAGCAGTAAAAGCAAGTTAAGGTGGTTTGTTTATGAAAACAAAAGGGTCGTATGTGGTGATCCCAGCCATTGGAGGCAGGGGCAAACAGGTCAGCTTGATCCACAGAGCAAGTCCCAAGCCAGCCAGGACTACGTTGTGGGACCTTGCCTCAAAAACTGTAAGAGATTTTTGGGCTGGTGAGATGGCTCGGTGGTTAAGAGCACTGGCTGCCCTTGCAGAGAACCCAGGTTCAATTCCCAGCACCCACATGGCCACACACAACTGTGATTTCTAGGGGATCTGGCACCTTCACACATACATGCAGGCAAAACACCAATGGACAGCAAAATGAATAAATCTTTACAAAAAAAATTAGAGATTTTGTATCTTTAGTGCAGGCAGTGTTCTAAGCAAGACTGAGAAGGCATTAAAGCATAAAAATTTAATTTGGATTATACAAAATTGAATTTGTGTTTATCAAGATACCATTAAGAAAGCGGCGGAAGAGAGGGAGGGGCAGCAGTGTTTGCTCATTCCTGAGAAGCACTTAATGCTCCTAGGGGGACTTCATTTGGGAATCTCCTAACCTCCTGTGACTCCAGTTCCGGACCCCCCAGCTCTGGCCTCCCCGCTCACCTGCACGTACACGCACACAATTTTAAATCGTTTTTAAGTGAATAGGATGGACTGGAGAGGTGGCTCAGCAGTTAAGAGCCCTTGCTGCTCTTGCAGAGGACCAGAGTTAAGCACCTGTGATGGGTGGCTTCCAGCCACCTCTAACTCAGCCTCCAAGGGATCTGACGCCCTCTTCCGGCCTCCACGGGTGTCTGTACCCCTGTGCACAGCACAGACAAAATTGAAACATTTTCTAAGTGACTAGGAAAGCAGACAGCCTGGATATTCTTGCAGTTCAGTAAGGGAAAGGCGTCGGGAAACTTTTTCAGTGAGGAGCCAGTTAGCAAACACTGCAGCGTCCATGCTTTTACAGCTGCCCAGCTTTCTGCTTGCCAGCGACCCCGAACAGCACACAGACAACTGTGTGTGGCTATTTCCCGCTGAGCCTCTGTTCACAAGCATGTGGGCAGTGAGAAGCAGGCCCAGAGAACCTGGTTTTCTGGCACTTTATTTGGAAGACTAAAAGAACAGCTCCTAATCAATAAAAGGAGAGAATGGGTAAAAGATATGGTCATCCATACACCAAAGGAAAAAGGCACCGATATAGCAATACACATGTTAAAAGATGGTTAATTAATAATCAAGGGAACATAGATTAAAAGCCAAACCGCCGAGGGCCGAGAGAGGGTTGCAGTATTCCATGACATGAACCTATGGTGGAAGGAAGAAAACAAACTTCTAAGAGGTCCTTCAGAGCTGCACACACAAGTATGGCACACGTGTGCCCACACTCACACCCCGCACACAATCATCGAACACACCTGTTCACTGAAAGAGTTAAAATGGGAGACACAAAAAGCATTAGGCATTTGCAAGAAATGTACTCAACAGGGACTTTCCAAAGATCAATATTTATTTTAATTTGTGTGTGTATTTGTCCTGTGTGTATGCTTGTGTGTGAGTGTGAAGGTACTTTTGGAGGCCAGAAAAAGGTATTGTGTTCCCTGGAACTGAAGTTAGAAGCAGTTGTGAGCACACTCCCATCGGTGCTGAGAACAAAGTTCATTCCTCTCCAAACGCCACAAAACACCTAGGCAGCGCTCTGGCCTGCAACAAGAGCCTTTGCCTTAGAGGACAAATGATGAACAGCTTCGGAAAACTGACACTTTAAGTTAAGCATGTATCCTTTTACTCAAACCAGGCAGAAAGCACACACACACACACACACACACACACATCCTTTTACTCAAACCAGGCAGAACACGCACACACACACACACAGAGGCACACACCACTGCGCTAGAGATACACATAGCATGAAACTTCAAAAGAAAAGAATCCCAGAATGCTCAAGGCTCACACACAGTAGAGTGAACAGACAGAAGGGTGTGTTTGCATTGTGGAACCCTGTTGCACAGTGGCAGGGGATGGTGCTGAAGTCCCAGCCGTCGCAGAACGGAGCAGAGAAGCCCAGACGCAGGTAGGCACAGGATATGACTCTGTGACGGATTAAGGGGCGGGGGGGGCAGGACACCCGTGCAGTCAGCGTCACACTACTTGGCATTAGCGGAGGCCTATCGGGTTATGTGGCTGCTTCCCGAGGTTGCCTTTTTCTAAGTGTGCTCTGCACGGCGCGTGTCTCTGCTTGTGTGTGAAGAGAATTTTTAAAGCCACAACTGGCTAGCGCTTGTCCCACGCCCCTCACCCTGCTTTTCTGATGTCTAGCAATTAGCCATGTGTCAGGGTGGTGAGTTTTTATGCCTCTGGGCATGACTCCCTCGTCATGGGCACCTTAGCTTTGGTGGTATCTACTATGATTCCTTGCGCTGTGTCCTTGAAGCTTACCACCATGGTCTGTCTTGACTAAAATAAGGAGCTAATGTTTATTCTTTTTGTTTTCTGTCAACTGCTTTTTTTTAAGACAAGTTAGCCTTGGCTGGCCTAAAATCCACTATGAAGACATGCCTGTGCCAGGCATGGTGGCGCCGGCCTTTAATCCCAGCACTCGAGAAGGCAGAGGCAGGCAGATCTCTGTGAGTTCAAGGCCAGCCTTGCTAACAAAGTGAGTCCAGGACAGCCAGGGCTACACAGAAAAACCCTGCCTCAAAAAAAAAAAAAAAAAAAAAAAGACTAGGCTGACCTCAAACTCACAGATTCACCTGCCTCCAGTGCTGGGATTAAAGGTGTGCCCCACCATGCCAGCTTATGTCCATTTATTACATTTATTCTGTGTATGTATGGGGATGGGGATGTGTGTCTGTATGAATCACTTCATATTTCCGAACTTTGAAAACCTTCATATTTCTAAAATTTTAAGACTGACCTCCCTTGGGAGTTAATATAATAGTGTGCTTGATTTGATGAAGGATCACAAGAAATGTTGAGGAGACCTGCAGGGTGGTTCCGCCAGTAAAGGCTTCAGCTGCCCATCCTGGCAGCCGGGACTCAGTCCCTGGGGCTCACACGGTGGAGGAGGAGAACCAGCTCCTGCAAACTGTCTTCTGACCTCCACACTGGCGCCAGGACACACGCAGGCTCCCATACGTAGGTACGCAAAATAAATTAAAACGCATCTAAAGGCGCTCAGGCGGCCAGTGCGGGCCACACCTGCCTGTAACCCCAGCACTGAAGTGAGTGGAGTCAGGAGAACAGCTGGGGCTGGCTGCCTGCCTGCTGAGCTGAAAGGCATGCGCTGCAGGTTCAGAGACCCTGCCCACGGGAATAAGGTGGAGAGTACAGAGCAGGCTATCCGAATCCGTCCTCCGGCCGCTTCGTGAACACACACGAGAAGACGGAAGGAGGAAAGGACAGATTTTGTATGTGCAAAAGGGACAGAGAATGGACAGGAGCAAGGGACCACGATCCACCAGGGTTCTGTCAGTAGTGCTGGTAGGGCCTGGTCTGCAAAGGACCAAAGAGCAAAGCCAAGGCCTTCTCCAGGACCGTTGAGCAACCGTGCCGAGACGTATTTCTCAGCGGGAGGGTGTGGCCAGCCGGTGGAGAAGGCTCGGGACAGTAAGGAGTGGGTGTGGTCTTAAGGGCACCGTTATTGCCTAAAGGGCCAGGCTCGCGGTGGGCGTGCCTGGCTTGGACTGGGGGGGTGGGCAGAGCGAGGGGCTCGGCTCGGTCTCGAGGGGCGTGGCTCTGGGTGAGGGGCGTGGCCAGCACGTGCTCGCTGGAGCGAGGAGACCCCATAGTTCCAGAGCTTCCCCAGCGCCGCAACTGTCCGCTCGAGACAGTTCTAGGGCAACTAGAGACGGTTGACCAGGCTGAGGGCTGACTCAGGGCACCTCGGAAGTAAGAAGGCGAGCCTCCCAGGAGCAGAGATGGATGGGCGTGTTGTGCAGAGGCGGGAAGGAATAGAGGCCACCAGGGTAGGGAAGGCCTCTGACCGACAGCCCGTTCTTTTGCAGCGCCCTGTCCCAGGGTCATGTGGCCATCCCTGTTGCTGCTGTTTCTGCTGCTTCCTGCTGCCCATGGCGCCCCCCACCCGGCTGCGGACCTACAGGAAAGCTTTCCAAGCGTACTCGAAGGTTTCCACCGCCCTGTCCTGGGTTGGTGGGTGTGGCAAGAGAGGAGTTTGAGGACCTGCAGGAAGGGGAAGAGGCAGTGATAGGCAGAGACCGGTACAAGGACGGAATAATGACAAGGATGCAGAGAACTGGGCGGGTGGTAGAGAGGAAGCCAGCTTGATGGGCGCGGTCTAGGGTTGGTGCCCAGCAGCACCCTTTGGACCCCCAGGAGACCCGCTCTGCAATGGGGATAGTTGGGCTCCACTCCTATGGACTCTAGCGCCTCCCTGGGCATGGCCACAGCACAGGGACCCTGGCTGGGGAGCTGCCCTCCCCGCCCTCACTCCATGAAGCTAAACTTGTCACTCCTCGTCAGAAATCCAAAGCGAAGGAGACAGAGGCCTGTGGAGAGAGGACAACCCGTCGTTCGCTGGCTCCCGCTGTGCTCCTGGCTCGTGAGGTGGCTGCTGTGTGGTCCAGAAGCTGGGGACGGGACTCGTGGCCTCCTGAGGGTCTGCCAGGCACAGGGTTGGGAGTCGCCCACTCCTCCTCCCCAAACCCTCTTCTTGTCCCTCCCGGGCTTTTCAGCTGCTGACGGGGCTGGGGGTGGATACCAGTGCCCTAGCAGGGGACAGAACGTGGGTCTCACCGGACCCACCTGCAGCACCGCTTAAAAATAAAAGTTATTCCTTCAAGCTGATAGTGCGCTTTCCTTTTGAGATCAGTGCCCAGCTCCCGGCTGACCAGGTCCTCCCAGCTTTGGACCTGACATCCCCAGGCCAGCCTGTGCCTTTGTTATTTCTGACCACTGCAGCTGGTGACTGGCCCTTAATTCCCCACACTGGGAGGCTCGGCTTTTAACCGGGACCTAAAAAGAGGTTGCTGAGTTAGATAAGGTAGGGGTTTCTTGCATTTGTTTTGAGTCAGGACCTCGCGGTGTAGTCCAGGTTGGCCTGTAACTCTCAGTTCTCCTGCCTCAGCCTCCCAAGTGTTGAGATTACTGGTGTGCTCTGAAATGACCAATTCACAGATGGCCGCATGAAATAACATTACAGCTGAGTCTCCTAGTAACAGTTGTCTTGTATGTGTGTGGGTATGTGGGTATGTAACATTGAACCTAGGATCTCATGCATGCTAGGCAGACTCTCTACCTCTGAGCCACACCCCAGCCCCTCACTGGGGGATTCTAGGCAGGAGCTCTACCACTGAGCCACACCCCAGCCCCTCACTGGGGGATTCTAGGCAGGTGCTCTACCACTGAGCTACACCCCAGCTCACTTTCTCCATCCTCATTTTGAGACACTCTCACTGAGCTTTTCAGCCTTAAAATGGGTGAGCCTCCTGCCTCAGCCTCATAGAGTTATAGCCCTGTGCCAACAGGCCCAGCTCCTATGAGATATTTGATAGGGAATGTGAAGGTGGAGTCTGTACTCCATGGGACAAGCCCTGTCACTGGAGTTTGTCACTGATGTCATCCAAGCTGTAGATCAGGCTCCTCATTCCAGCAACAGATGATCCATGAGGTTTTAGGGGTTTTTGGGTAGCTACTGTCTGTGGCCAGAGTTCACCTGTCCGTGAGCTCCTGAGCCCAATTCTGTGTGGAGCTGAGAGCTCTCATACAGACAGGGGTGGATAAGGTGGTGACGGCCTGAGGACAAATCCATAGAAAATCCTGTGTTCGACAATGGAGTCTTAGCAACAGCCCTGCTATGAGCTGTTCGTGTGGAAACCAGTCCGTAGGACACTCCCAACAGTTGCTCAGTGTATCTGTGACACCTGTGCTTGGTTGAGCTGAGGAGTCTTTGAAGCCACGGAAGAGGTTCCATTCCAGCTTCTCATCTTCAGGACCCGTCTTCACGATCTAGAATAAAGCAGGAGCTTGGGGGAAGAAGAGGATGCACACAGATGCCGGGGCCAGCCTCACAACAAGCTGGAGGCAGGTTGTCTCACTTTCACTTCCACGTAACTATAAAATACCCTGACAAAAGCAGCTCGGAGGAGAAAGGGTTTGGTTTACCTTAGACTTTCAGATCATAGTCCATCACGGTAGAGAAGTCAGCATGGCAGGAGTTAGTCATCTCACAGCCACAATCAGAAACAGAATGCAGTGAATGCATACGTGCATGTGCTCCGTTCAATTTCTCCACGATCGTACAACCTGCATAGGGAATGGTGCCACCCACAGTGGGCGGGACTTCACACCTCAACCAAGACAATCCCACACATACATGCCCACGGGTCAGTCTAATTTAGATAATCCCTCATTGCTTACATGTATGTGTGCCTGTGTGCAGGATCAGCAGAGGTCAGAAGAGGGCATTGGATCTCCTAGGACTGGAGTTACAGATGGATGTGCGTCACCATATCATTACCGGGCACTGAATCTGGGTCCTCTGCAAGAGCAATCAGTACTCTTAACTTCTGAGCCAGGAGATCCCGAGACTCTCTGGAGTGATTCTAGGTGATGTCAAGTTAATAAAAATCAGTCACACAGGTATTTCAGAGATGACACCATTGTTACGTATACACTTGGTGTCCCATCCAGCGGGGAGTTCAATGGGTTCCTAAGGAGAGGTGAAAAGAATGGTGTGGGACAGAGACAGGAAGAATGGAGGCCCAGTCAGTTTGTCCGATCAAAGCCTCATTTATTTGCAATTTTTACCCAACTTATATAGGGAGAAGGCAGGAAAGGGGGGAGGCTAATTACGGCTGCAGGAGATAGCAAGAGTGCTTTCATGGCTTGACTATTGCACCTGTAAGATGCCGTCAGGATGTTTTCTTAAGATATCTCACGGATGCTCTAAAACTAACAGACGGATGTTCTCATAAATCTATCACCCATGACCTAAGGTCCTAGATAACTCTTCCACTAATTGGCTTTAGGTCTCCACTAAATGACCTTTGCTCACCATTTGGCTTTGGCTTCGGTAAATAGCTTTGGCTCCTGGCAACTTGGGACTGGGCTATTGAACCCATTTCACACTGGCCGTTATCCCAGTGGTCTTGAGATGGATGTGTCCCTCAAATTTTGTGAGTTGAAATCTACTCCCAATATAGAATCAAGAGGTGGAGACTGAGATATGGTCTGGTCATAAGGGTGGGGCCATCAGGAATTCGATTAGTGCCTTTCTAAGACCCTCAGGGCTGGAGAGACAGCTGAGCAGGTCAAGGGGCTTGCAGCCAATCCTGACAACCTGAGCTCAGTCCCTGGGGTACACGTGCTCGAAGTAGAGAACTGCCTCCTGAAGCTTGTCCTCTGACCTCCGTGGGAGTGCGAACGTACAGAAACATATAAACGTACACACACGTACAACAAAATAAAGTGATAGAAAATGCCCTAACCCAAATTTTGTAATGTGAGGAGACAAGTGTCTTTCCCTTTTTCTTCCTCCTCGACTGAGCTGCCCTGGAGAGAAGCCCAGGTCCCTGGAGGATGGTAGGGCTAGGAGCTCGGTAGAGTGGCTGGGACACTGTACTCCGCCCCGAAAGCAGGGACCCCTAGCGGTGGTTTTGTCGCTGTGGGGTGCTGAAGTAGAGTATGTAGATTTGGCAGCTTATATAAATTTTCTCCCTGCTCTGAGGCTGGGGTGTGAGGTCAGAGTACAGCATAGTCAGGTTCTGACATGGACGTTTCTGATTTCTTTGGAAACTCAGTTTTGTCATGTGAATATGTTCTTTGTTTTTGTCCCAAGTGTAGGATGTGGGAATGTTTCTCCCCCTCGGGAAACAGCCCCACAGAAAACATCCCCTGTGAAACGGTGCATGATGTTTGTCAGATGAAAACTGCCTCATGGGAGGATAAGCTGGAAAACATCCCCGTGTGGATTCTGAGGAGGGATAAATAGAAGGCCACAGGGAGTGAGAGAACGCTTTTGCATTGCTACGCTTTGCAACGGCTCAGATCTTTCGCTGGTCTTTGCAGAGACATGCTCCCTAGAACTATTTGTGCTGCTTTGGAGGTGGACTTGCATTGTTTGGGCGGAATGTCGTCACTTCTGAAGCTTCTTCAAAGCTACTGCTTTGCTGTTTGACTAGATGGCTGGTATCCTGCCAACTGAGTTTGGTAATCCCCAAGGACCCATCAACCCTTATCAGCAGAAAGTAGCCCAAAGAGGTCTATGGCCCCTTTCCCTACTAATCTCCTGCTTAAGGTTGGGGGATTGGAAGGGAGGTTGAAATGGTTAAGAAACTTAAAGTAGGTGTTTGAAAAAAAATTCTAAGCCTACAAGGTTCTGTTGAGAGCTTCCACGGTGCAGAATATGAATACAGAAACTCTGGGATTGCTTTTGCAACATTATTTTTTACTCATGTGTACGTGCGTGAGTATGAGCCACAAGTGTTCGGGTGCCCGAGGAAGCAGACTTGGGCATTGGATTGCCTGGAGCTGGATCTACAGGTGGTTATAAGCAACTCATTGTGGATGCTGGTGAGCTTAGGTCCTCTAGAAGAGTAGCAAGCACTCTATCCACTGAGCCAGAGCCCAGTTCTGTGACAACTGCCTTTGGGAGGACGCTGATACCTTCCACGAGATGGTACATCCTAATCACACCTCAAAGACTCCACTCTCCCACCCAGGAGCGGCAGGTGGCTCAGTGGGTTAAGTGCTTGCCACAAGAATATGAGGAACTGAGTTCAAGTCCCCAGTGCCCACATGAAGTTATGTGTGTACCATATACACATGCGATCCTAGAGTCCCTCGGGGGTGACTGCATAGGAGACTCCGAGGAAGTTCACCGTCTAGCTAGCCGGAAAACAAGAGAGTCTCCACCTCAAATGAGGCGGAAGGTGAATTAGGGTGAACACTGAATGCTTTCCTCTGTCCTGCACATGGGCGCTATGGCATGCCCACACCAACAGCATGCTGGCATGCAGGCAGGCACGCACTCACACACACATGCACAAGCCTGCTCCCCTCTGAGACTGCATTTCCTCCTCTGTAACTGGAAAGAGGAAGTGATCTCCACAGGAGGATTCCTGAGCCCTTCAACTGTCACATTTGACTAAGGCCTGTAAGGACAAGGGGAGAACACTCCAGCTCTCTCAGCCTCGAGGCTGCTATGGCAGGGTGGGAGATAAGGACCCAGTGTCCTTGCCATGTGCCCACCCAGTTTTCACATCACCACTTGTTGAAGATGCTATTTTTTCTCCACTGTGTACTTTTGGCATATTTTTTAAAAAATCAGGTAGCTGTGGTTATGTGAACCTAGACATGAGTCTTCTCTTCTGTCCCACCAATGGATAGCTCTCTTCTGACAGTGCCGTGCTGTGGCTGTTGCTGTGATTCTGTCCTATAACTTGAAATGTGGTATGGTGTTGCCTTCACAATATCCTTTTTGTTGAAGATTGCTATCCAGGGTCTTTTATTTTTATTTATGTGCTGAAAGCCATTTTGATTAGGATTACATTAAATCTGTAGATTGCTTTTTGGTAGGATGGACAATATCAGCTCTCTCTCTCTCTATCTCTGCCTCTCTCTGTCTGTCTGTCTGTCTCTCTCTCTCTCTGTGTCTCTTTGGTTTTTTGAGGTAGGGTCTTTCTGTGTAGACTTGGATGTCCCTGACTCGCTTTGTAGACCAGGCTGGTCTCGAGCTCACAGTGATCTGCCTGCCTCTGCCTCCTGAGTGCTGGGATTACAGGCGTGTACCTCTGTGCCCAGCTAACTCTT